TCTCTGCCCTGGCACACCTAGCAAGGTGTGCCAGGGCACACCTAATTATTTGCGATGTAATAATATCTATTGATGATGTAAATCCGCCCCTGCCTGAACCTACCCTGTCTAAAAGGCCAATTCGACCTTGCAGTTCATTTAACCGCCAGTTTTTTTAGAAAAAAATTAAAATTAAAAAAAATAAATTAATAAACAATCTTTCGGCTCGAAACCGAGGTGTTTAGAAAAAAAAAACTAAAACCCAGAACCAACCCGATTTTATCACCCGTCAGTTTCCAAGACCCGTAGGTCCGGACCGATTCAGGACAGTTCCGGATCGATTTTGGCGGGCTGAGTCGGGCCGACTCTTGCCACTTCAGTGTAGACCCCGAGAAAAATAAAATAAAATAAAAATCAATCTCGAGAGAAATATTGACTCAGTAACTTATAAATTATTAAAGCATCTTGATGTCACTTAAACAAGATATCGGGTTCAAATCCTTGTGGATGCAAAAAGTCCTTGTTGGGAGACTCACCCACCACTGCTAGGTGTGCGATCTGGGTCGACCAACAAATTAGTCGTGGCTTACCTCCCATACCGTGACTAGCTAGTAGTCAAAAGTTCACATGGGAGGCTTGTAAAAGGTCCATAATTTACGCTGGCACGGTTTTATGAGTACATGAATTGGGAGTCCACTCTCCTGCTAACTAGTTTAAATAAGAGATTAACGTGTCTCGATATAATAGTTAAAAAAAATACATACTTTAATAAACAAGATAAATAGATGATGTAACTATTTAAAAGTGTAACGAATCGTTAATAATTTTTATATAAATTTAAAAGAGTGAAATATTTCAGCTAACCGACAAGAAAGGGGTAGGTGACGTTATGGCCTTCCATGACAATTTAGTCGGGTGAAGTTAAAAATAGAAAATTAAAAAATTAAAAAATTAAGAGAGAGAGAGAGAGAGAGTACTGGAGTAAGATTTATTTAGTTATTATTATATTAATGAACACTTGTTCAATACTAATAATTATCTATCTATCTATCTATCTATCTATACTATTATAAAAGAGCCAATGAATCTGTAAAAATTTGATATACCTAAATTAACCTTACTTTGTCATGTTTATAATGTCAATTTTGTAATTTAATACCCCCATTCTATACTAATATTTTTAATTAAACACATTCTAGGGACATGTCCTCCACCTTGTATGTTAAAACTCAAAAAATATAGGGGATTATCCTTCACGTCTCCGCTCACTCACACACACTCTGGAGAAAAGATAATAAATATATCCAATCACACTTTCCTGTTGCACAATATTCATTCATTCATCAGTGTGTAATTGATCTTGGGGTTTATGTATATTGGTTTGGCCC